ATTCAAAATATTAATAGGTAACTCATTGATATACCTAGTATTCGTTTTCTTTCGTATAAACAATTATCTTTATCTATTATCCAATATATAATAAAAATAGTAGGTAATCAGTTGATTCGCTCGACACGTGCAGTTCATAAATGCTGGTCATCTATACAATATTGTATATATTTTTTTTAATTGAGCTTGAGCCCGGAAAATTGGCCATTAGATGTTTTGTTTGTTAGTAGTTTGTTTGTAGGTTGTTAGTAGGGGGGAGGAACGGTTGAAAACGCGTTTCGTATGTGTGGCAAGGATTCGTTGCTGAAAATCCTGGGTGGTCACCCATCCGGGAACTAGCAATACCGGCCATTACGTACACTCAGTGCGTTTTCGCAGTTGAGTGCACTCACTGCGCAAACCAAGCCACATATAATATTATAGTATACATAATACATATAAATGCACAAAATATATCCGTGAATACGTGAGTATAACTTTAAAAAAAGTTAACACGGATATTAAATTAACATGTATCAAGTACTATTAAGTATACTTGAATACAATTTTTTTATTTACGTGTACGCGGACTTCGTGTTCACTTACGTATTAATTCACGTTTCCAATCGAGGCCTCTAATAGTTTAAATTTAAATGTTTTTGAGAAAGTAATAAGTATTCTTATATAATTTAACTATATAAGATAATTCAATACATATTTCAATAGTTTTATAAACAACTATATATCAATCATCAATGGTTAGATTATTAAATGTAGAATCCCAATTATTAACACTACAACGTTAATGTAGTTATTTTTTATTGTTAAGAAATTACTTATACTAATTAGTATTATTATTATTATTATTATTTTGAAATTTGATAACAATTTATCGTATAAACTAATGTATTAAATAAACAAGTTGTTCACAGAATTAATGGTATTAGAATTAATATTTTTTAGTAAAACAATGATCATAAATCATAATACTGTTAAAAGAATAGAATATGCCACTACGAACCAATAGAAAAAAACACAGTGTTCATCACACATTTTGTGATTTGCTTATTGTACATATATATTTCGCTATAGGTATGAAAATAGCCTATAGCTGATTGTGCATTTTTCTATTTTAATAAAGAAAAATTACGAAACCAACTACATACAATAATATTATTTTTTATATTTTTATACACTCAGATTCAACACTCACTATTTCTAAGTTATCATTTCCATTGACTATTGTTCTCAGTCGTCTGCCGATCGTTTTTCATGCATAATACATCTTGTCATTTTGATTACATGTTAATTTTAAATTATTTCATAATAACAAATCAACAACTATATCAATATATTTTTTTTACATTTGACTTTCATAGCATCAGTATTGCTTCAAAAATCAATTCATGTGAAGGATTTACATACATGCACAATGTACATTTATTATGAGTTCTATTTTATATTTTCTACCTATCCAAAGTATGAGTTTAGTACTTATACCTTTAATTAGTTACCCTCTAATCGAAATTTAACTCTCATGATAATTAAAAAAAATTATTTTTATGTGAAATGCATATCTTTTAAGTTGTAACAACTTGAATTTGATTTATAGCCTTTAGGAATACAACATATTAAAATTAAATTTGACACGCTCAATGCTCAAACTAGCATGATTATAACATTTATAACTAGTAGGTACCTATATAAAAGGCAATTTCTATACCATAAAAATAACAACATTAACAATGAATAACTAATAAGTAATAACTATTAAGTATTGAGTAATAAATATACTCTATACTGCATAGTTAATAAGTTGTGCACATTACAACATTATATTATAGAATAGGTACCTATACCTACCTAATAATGTCTATACTCTATAATAAGTAATAGGTACTCTAACACGACCATCTGCAGTATAACCTGGTATGGTAGTATATCTTTAGGCATTGATAAAATTCTTACGTACTTTTATATAGTTTAATTAAAGATGTATATTAGAAAGGAGATGTCCTGACTAACTAATGTCGAGTGATTTCAATTTTAATTGTGTAATTAGATACTATATTCTTCGACAAAGTCAAAAAACATATCGATAGAAGATATTAACATCAGTGGATTTTGATGCCCAAAAATATTACACCCATCAGTATTCAGTGGAGATAAGGGCTGCCTTTTTCGATCACATAATTTTCTATTATTCAGATACCTAAGAAAGATGTCAAGAGTTATAAGAAAAATTGTTAAGTATGTGTCTGAAAATTTTAGTGACTCTGCTGAGATATCTTAAGAGCGTTTCGCGTTTTGTTATTTGTGTTTGCTTTTAACGCAAATAAATCAAAATAGTTTGTTGTCTTGCGATTAACCGCTATTCGCTCTTGAAAAAACCCACAGTCATGTCGATTGATCCAGAAATTTTTTTTCAAAAGAACCCATATGCTAGTCATAGAAATAGGACTAGTATTTAACAGTGTTGGTCTAATTTAAGCAAAGAGATGATTATAGATGGTAAGTACAATAATTATATTATATACCTATTATACGAATAAATACAAAATATAAATCATCAGAGTTCACTTTATTTAATTAATATTGGCGTATAGCTTTATTTATCAAATACTTAAAAGTAGGTATAGGTTATAAACTTATAAAAATAAATAATTAAATAATATTATTTATAAGCAATATTGAAAAGTATAGGTACATAAGTCATTAGGTATTGCCGTATTGGTATTATAATATAATATTATTCTGATACTTAATGTTTATTAAACATATAGAACCATATACATTGATCATAAATCATAACGATTAAAAATTAATTATTAATCAATAAATGGTATATTGTATACAGTATGTATAAACTTACTAGAATTCATAAATTATACTATAATCAATTAATTGTAATTACACTAAAGAGGAAAGAATAGGATATTATATAGATAGGGAAATTATAATTGAATTGTTCTATGATTGAATCGAATACACACGTTACACTTGTACATAGTAATATACCTATTAAAATAAATTTACCATTTACCATTGTTATTTTATATAATAATTCTATTTTTAATAATAAAGTCAAGTTTATACTAGCAGTTACATTATTTTTTGGTTTTAAAACAGTAGGTACCTAATACGAACTGATTGAAATTTAAAATTGACGAACAACTAGTTGCACTATATTTAAGTATAAGTAAATAAGTTTAATAACTAAATAGAGTAAAAATACTGCCCAAATATAACAATAACTATAGGTATACCTATCTAAAGGTAACAACTTTTTAACTTCTAAGAGGTAGGTACTTACGTCAAATGACTGGTTATTGCAAATTGGTTGCTGCAAGTAGAATGTTTTCATTTTTATTTGAAGTTAATTACTATAATACTCTGAGTAAAATTCAGTACAAATACGTTCATTTAAAATGTTGCGTCTAAATTGGTCATTTTGACTTGTAGGTATTTGCCTATATTTCCGATGTCAATGTTTTACAATATTATGATTTAAATACTTCTTTTATAAATTAAGGAAAAAGCGTCGTGCAAGGTGTGTACAAACATAACAAGAAAAAACCAAATTAAACAAGATATTAAAAAATATGCATAAGAAGAAAAAAGAATGCTTAGGTAGAGGCCACAACATATAATAAATCCAATAATTCATTATTACATTCAGATTGGTAGTTGTTTTTGTGTTTACATAAAAAATATGTCCAGAATCAAGAAGTTGCAAATTGTATAAATTATCATTGTGATTGTGTTTATAAGTACATCTTTTAAGATTTAATTTTTTTTAAAGATATTTAATTTTTCTTCATTAGTGCTTGGTAGTTGATTTTGGATGTAGTTTTAAGATGTCCATGTATTATCTTCGTTGCACCAAATGTCGTCATTTGAAAAGTATGTATATCAATTATTGAATTATATTTCCGTATATTGAGGTCTACTTTGTAGAGAAAAACTGAAGGGATGATGATGAATGTCACCGCGAGGACTTTTTAGTGGTTCTGGCGGTTCAGCAATTTCGTTCAATATAACTTTTCCTTCAGCACAGCAATAGGACTGAGTGCTTTATGAGGCAATTTTATTACCTGACAATAGGTACTAACAAATCTTACTTACATAATTACTTATATATTATCAATTGAAACATCGTTTGCAATGTTACATAATTAGTTAAAGCGTCGTAGGTTCTTAAATATGGGCATTAATGGGCAAATATGGGCATTTATTTACGCTGCCAAGAAGAGTGTGGTAAATTAAGGATTTTTGTTGTGTAATATTATTTTCGGGGTTGGGAAAGTTACTCAGTTTATTGTAACTGGTTACAGTTAAAAGTTATTCTAAAACTATGTAACTAGTTACAAGTTACTAGATACTTTTATGTTGAGTAACTAGATACAAGTTACAGTTCACAGTTGTGTAACTAAGGTCTATCTAAGTTACATTTAAAGTTAAAAGTTACATTGGTAAATGGATAAAGAATTATTGAACGGCCAAGGGCTAGGTAATCTAACGTTATGATCGTTATGTTAGCCGTTAGGATAAAAAAAAAATGAATCAACCATAATCGCACAACCATTGAATATCCACTGGCTAGATTAATTGTGAAAACCAAAATGATCGAATTAAGCGTTTTAGATTTTGAACGGAGCGATGAATGTATTGATTTTAAATTCAGTATTTTTATTTCTGTTGGAGCAGTATAAATGCTTCGATATTCAACTTGAAACTCTTTTGGTAGGAAAGTGAAATCTATTTCGTTCTTTTTTTTGTGGGGAGGGGGAGGAGGTTAATAGTAAAAATTCTTATTTTTCTTTTTGATTATTGGAAAAAATAAATTATCACTTTTATATATTAAGACTTATACGGTATACGGCTAAAGGGTAGATACAAGCATTGTCTTCGTATAGATTGAAGAATAATATTACATTTCTGCACGGCAGCGGCCATTTTGTTGTTGTTTAATCGAGTCAGGTAAATTATATTGTACTATTATTATGTTATGATTGTTTCAGGAGCGGCTGCAGTAGTTCGCAAAAGTCGTCATCAATGGCGTCGTCGAAGAAAATCCGGCGGCGGGTGGCCACGCTGGCGCAACGGCGCGCGGCCAACATACGCGAGCGCAGGCGCATGTACAACCTGAACGAGGCGTTCGACAAGCTCCGGCGCAAAGTGCCCACGTTCGCGTACGAAAAGCGGCTGTCCCGGATCGAAACGCTCAGGCTGGCCATCACGTACATCGGGTTCATGACCGAACTGCTGCAGTCGACCCCGTCGCCCGGCGGAGGCGCCGACGCTGCCCAGTCACCCGCGTCCGCGCCCTACGCTCTGCCGCCCCAACACCACGACATTCCCTACGCGCCCTACTCGTTGATACCGCCCGTGTAGAGGGGTGCAGGTGACCGCCACCCCTCCTCGAAAGCTGCTGTGCGGCGTATATTATGTATACGTAAAAGGTGTCGACCGCCCGTAAGAAATCTGTTGTTGTATATACGCATTACCATAGGTGCAATTTGGGGGGTGCTTGGGGGTGATTAGCACCCCCAAAAATTATATTAGCACCCCAAAATTTTTGATAGCATCATCGAATTTTTATTGACTATAAAATTATGCCATAGGTATTTGGATGCAATTATTTATAAGACACCTTCATAATAATAATGATTAATGATACATAAGTATCAGAATAATAATATAGATAAAAGTGTATTTATTTGTATTAAGATTAATGAGAAGGTGTATAAAATAAAGTTGTATGAATGGAAGGGGATGTGTGGGGCAAACCCCATTTATTTCGATATAAAATATAAATCTAGCACCCCCATAAGTTCAACCCAAATTGCGCCTATGCGCATTACATCTGCAGCGGGTGTGCAATCCATCTAATAAACCTATTATTATAGTTGTTGACATTTTTGCTCTCCAAACTGCTCTAATTATTATAATATGATATTACCGCGGGAATGACATCGACATAATTATAATATAAGTAGTGTCGACAATATTTTTATTATATTACCTATACGTTTTTCCATATACTTGGAAACAAGTTATTATAAAACATATTTCAACTATTTTACGATAACGAAATGTGACAAAAAAATACCACTCACTTCCCTCCTCGCCGTGCGTATATGTAGGATAATAATATTATTTTATACTACTGTAATTATTCAAAATATTCGTGCTTACGCGGACAAACTTTGTACATATGTATATTATAAACTATTGTAAGATATGATTTGTATATTTATTATTGTTATTATTATAAAGGTACCTACGTGCCTAAGCATAATAATATTATTATGATTTATGATATGACAAAGTTTAAAGTTATTATCTGAAAGTTGTACAAGATTGATCTATTGAAGTATATACCTATATAAGATGGTTTTACAACGATGTATGAGTTTTTCTTTGGAAGTCAAAACCTTGTGGAGCAGTAGTATAAAAATGATTCAAACTCTATTTCTAAGCAATAGAACGTTTTTAAAAAGAAATATAATCAGTGTCAGACATTAGAAATTTTGATTTACGATGATAAAATCTGTTCATCGAGAAGCTTGGTAATTTAATTAAAAGTTTTCAGTTGTTGTTATTACAGCATTCTAAAAATAAATAAAATATTTTATAGGCATGACTATTTTTTATAGAAATTTTAAGTTATAATTTTACAAAAAATAAATGAGCTTTTTTCAAACTCATACTCAATCAGTGGTGGCTCAATGACAAGGTATAGTGCCAACTGACAAGGTACACTCGAAAGTCGAAACCTACAGCAGCGACTTCCTTGGTTTTTAATATTACCATTGACCACTGCAAATTTATATTTTTTTTCCAGGGTTTCGAGTTAATACTTATCATAGTTGTTTTGCATGGTACTAAAATGGGATTGTAAATCCAACATGTGACGACGTTATGTCACATAATTGCCAAATTTCAGTCAGTCTCAAATCTCAATATAACATAATAGGTACCTAATCAATGATGTTTGTCTACGAATTGTACCTTTTTTATACTAGTAGCAAATAGGTACCTACTAGGCAGTGGCGTCCGCAGGGGGGGGGCTAACGGGCTGAAGCCCCCCCCATTGCTCGTATTATTATTACTTTTTAAAAAAAATATTAATCAAGTTTAAACTGTCAACTACAGTAAGCAAGACGTAAATTTAATTTATGTCTTACCAGAATGAATTCATTTTTGAAAAAAACATTGTATTTGCATACCAATTTTCATAAATTATCTGTAATTTTTCGGTAAAAGAATGAACTACCTACTTGTATGGAAGACCTTGTATTAAATTGTCTAGCCTTAGCTATAGGTACATATTTTATATTTTATAAATTTTGAATTACAAATTAACTGTGGTTAAATTGTTTTGAACTTTAAATGCATATGTATCGTTAATATTTTAGGTATAATAAAAAAACTTACGTATTACATTTTTAAGCTTTTTGACCGGATAAATAATTTTTTATTGACATTTATAAAAAAAAAAATTAAGTAATCAAATACAATCCAAGTGAGGACGGTATAACCAAACCAAGCTATTGTTAAAAAACAATTTAAATAAGTTTTCATTTTTTTTTCTCCAAATAGGTACTTTTAAAAGCACTGAGCAGATTCAATTTCGACCTCCTAAAAGTACCAACTAGATCCAATTTGCTTCCAAAAACATACACTGGGAATCGAAGGTTATGATAAGAGCATTTTTTCTACCAGAAAAGTTGAAAAGTTACAAACATTTTAAAATATCTCAAATAAACGTCTGAAATTATTAGACTAGACAAAATAAAAATAAATTTGTAACTAATTTTCAAGCCCCCCCCCCATTGAAAAATCCTGCGGACGCCACTGCTACTAGGACATTAATATAGCCTATACGAGTATAGTATATAGGTACCTAGGTACCATATAAAAGATGAATCAATTATAACATTTATAACTTATAAGTAAATATTTGACATTTATGAGGCTAAATATTGGTGTAAATAATTATTCAATTATATTGTATAACTATATATATAGATAAGTGAAAACCCTTTAAAAAGTAAAAATTTTATAAATTATTATTTGGAGATATTATTTATTTTCGTGTTTTAATAAAAATCAAAAACACCATTCAAATCGCCAATGTTTTATTTATTCCAATTACATATGGACCACAAGGTCCAATTTAACATGCTGCAATAAGTTGTAGTGACAGTATTTGTAAAATATAAACAACATTATGAAAGTTTAATAAAATATTATGCATACATATAAATGAGGAGAATATTGTGTCAGTGTTCGGAAGGGATGCGTTGCGTTGGTGCATTTCGACCATAATTATAGTTGTAGTGAGCGACTACAAAATGAAACAGAATTTAAGAGTTGGACGAGTAGGTAGGTATAGTACCTTAAAGGTTAATCTAGAGAGTAAATCGGCAGAGTCTATAATATGTCCAGTTTCAAGTTTTAGTAAAAAATTCAAGTTAGCAGCATGTCTTCTATCAGCCAACGACTCCATATAAAGTTGCTTAAGAACTTACTAAAGATTAGTAATGTGGCGGACACTCAATTTTTTGAAGTTCGACTAGTGAAGTATAAAAATGTCCGTAGTACTCGCCCAAGCAGAATCGATTTACTGGCGGTATGAGCCATGAGGGTCCCAAATGACTGAACCAAGGGTTTGCCCGATGAACGCGCACTGTGCAGTATATAATATAGTGCCTTTAAAGGAGCAGGCGAGCAGCTAATCCAAATTCAGCTGAAACGCCTTTGATAAATCCCAGGGTTTTAAGATCCTACCTTGCAACAGATACTTTGGATATGGATATTTGGACTTAACGTAGGTTTTAATTTTAATGTAAAAAAGCTTGGTTTCATTTATACTCAATAGTTAATCCACCACCACCATTTCATAATCCTGGCTACGCCACTGTCCACTTTTTAACACAGAAAAATAAATTGTCTAAATGCATGTTTTTAACATTTATATTATAATACTTACTTAATTTTGATTTTTAAATGGGCAGAAGGAATGTTTTTTGAGATCAAGGATAAATTTAAGAGTTTAGAATTTTTATAGTTTATCAGCGTCTATATATTTGAACTAAAAACTATAAATATTAATAATTATTAATTAATATATTGACAACAGTTTTCTAGTGCTTAGTGCTCACACAATTATATTTCCGCAAAATTAAAAAAAATATATTATAGCCATATTAATTCACCAGCTATTGGACTCTTTTTTCAATCAGGCAGGGGCAAATGCCCCCCCTTCCCCCCACTCAAACTATGCCACTGATTGTATGTAACATTTAAATTCAGTTTTCAATTGATAAGTACCTATTTATTTAGCTTTACAATATAGAAATGATTCCTACTTTGTTAAATGTTCTAAAATTGTTATAGGTTATAATGACAACGTTGGCAGCATGTATGTTAGAAGTTTTGGACCTGTAGACCTCTAAATAGCCTCAATCTCAAAAAAAAAAAAAAAAAGCCTAATAAGCCTCTAAAATATTTAATACACAAATATTAAACCACATATTATTATATTCGAACTAAGAGTAAATCTCATTAGGTAGGTACCAAAAATATGAATATATTGAAACAGAAATTCTTTCTGAAAAAATAATTGGGGATTGCAAAATATTAAAATAAAAATAACAAGCTGTATAAGTAACCCGATTACTTAGCTTTTTAACTAAATTACAAGATCCAATTATCTTTAAGCGTGGTAACCTTTACTTTTATTAATAAAATTCTCCTGAACAATGACTACCTATAATATTTTGTTGTTATGGTTTTACTATCTTATTGATTTTTGAACCTCTGTTACATATTATATTAAATTTAAGTGGCCAATTCTGCCCTCTCTTTTTAATTAAAATCTCTTTAAAATTACAATAAATTGGGATTAAGTTCCATGACTGATAAATGAAATAGTAATATTTATTTTAAAAAACGGCCAGGTCGGGCGGTGATTGATGAACCCAAACCCATACCCAAAATTAATCATAGAGTTACTACCTTCGAATCATGGCAATTTTACCTCCCATTTATTACACCAATACACCAGAGTGCTCCTCATAAGGCCATACTATTTTTATAAGTTATAACCAACCACTTTTTAATACTTTGTTTCTTCAAAATAGGGATCAGTCTTTTAAAAAATAATCCTAAATTATATTCTAATACGATAGCTATAATTGTATTATTTTTATTTGCAATTGTTTGATTATTATAATTGATACATACTTTTTGTATTGGGTATAATAAAATAATAATAAAATGGATAATCAACAAGTTTGCTGAGTAAGAAAGAAAAATTACAGTGATAATTTAAAAAACAATTGGCAATGATATTATTAATAGTTTAAATTATACAATGGAATTTCATAATTATACACACTTATTTGTAAATAACAAAAATAACTTTCAGTAAATTCTTCAAGTATATTTTAAAGAAAAAAAAAATTATGTAAACAGTTTTTGTAAGAAAACTCAGACCAGACTCGGGGGGTAGACGACATAGGTCCACGCCAAGGGCGGCACTTTAGTAAAAGGGCGCATTTTCAAAACATTCATAATATTATTATTTTAGAGGCGGAAAAATTTGATTTTGCCTAGTACACTATTTTTGCTTGAGCCGGCCCCGAGAAAACTTAAAATATTAAAAAATTATTATTTGTATAATAAAAAATAAAAATAAAAAAATGCATCAGTAAAATTGTAAGTGTAAAACAAATATTAAAAAAAAAAATTGTTTTAACACAAAATTTACAAAATATAGAAATTAGATTTACTTAATAATAGAGCATAGGCCATGGAAAAATAAAATATCCTCATTCATTTTGCAAATAAATTATGCTTTTACAAGTTACTAAATAAATATAGATATTCTAAATATATCATTTATTCTAAAGCTCCAGTTAACAGCACACCGTCTTCAGGTTTAGGTTGTCTCTTAAATTCTGGTTTTGTTACCATGAACACTACTAATCCACCGTAAAAAACACATAGTAAGCCCAAAAAATTGCCAAACAGTCCTTCTTTTGGATAAGTTCTATAGGTGTCTTTCCTATTTAACAAAAAAATTAATAATTAATAATATATCATTTACATATTTATCATTTGAATACATACAAAGCAAAAATTAATTTTTCACTGAATCCAAGGACTGCAGTAGCGATTGCCAATATAAAATTGAAAATTCCAAAGAAAATGTGATAAGGCATTATAGCTTCCCTATATTGTGCAGCTATTCCAGGAAACAAGAAGGACACAAATCCACTTACAAACTAAAATATAACATAAACGGATAACAAATTAACATATTTAAAAATTTGAATATTAAGCAAATTTATAATAATATATAAAATTATTAAAATTTAACTAACCTGAGAGAGGAACATTGAAATGGTAACAACACCCAACCAACTGTGTAAACTATACAAATCTGGAATGGGAGGATTACTATACATATGAGAAGCAAAAGAAGCCCAACCAGCAAGTAATACAAGAACAATTATACAACCATGAATAATTGCATGATGATTTTTCAAATCTCGTTTTTTTAAATTGCGGAATGTTCTATAATGAAGAATAGCTAAACAAAAAAATTGTGTCAATAAATTATTTATTTTAAATTATTCACATATATACAGACAATTTACTCATTAGTCATAGCTAATCTAAATATTGAAATATTGTAAAAAAACCAATGTACAAACTCAAGACAATGTTCTTACCTTTAAGTTTCATAAATGTCAATTCACTCTAATATTAAAGGCTAAAGCCATAAAATAAATTGATGCTTCTGAACACTAATTTGCTATGTTATATGTTTGTAAGAGATACACATGTATTCTTATGTATTTGTACAGAGACAACATATGGGTGGGTGTAATGTATTCTTAAGAGGATGTTCCACCCAAGTGACATGTGTTGTCATTATTTTACGTGGCAAATATTAAGTTTAGAAGAGTTTGTTTTACTCTGTTATTTTTAATATTAGAGTGAATTAACCAACTATCAAACTTAAATTAATACATAAACAAATAATTATCAAGATACCCCAGATAATATTTTTATTTCTTACCTTTAAGTTTGATAATATATTCATTCTACGGATTCTTCTAATATTAAAAACAACAGAGTAAAATTAATTCTTAACATAAAATTGTCGTTATGCGTTAGTAAGACATAGACAACACATGGAAGTGAAATATTATAATATTAAGAAATAAGAATGAAGTTCCTTACAGAAAACTATTAGACCATTTAGTTTGTAAAACTAACCAACATTTTATAGAAATAACAGATATTGTTTAACTAATATTCTCAACTATGTCACTGTTATAATTTTTATTTTATAATTTATAATTTTTGACACAGCCCTTAGAAATGAGTAACCCTGCTTGACAGTATCTACTATAGATTTTTGAAAAATTATATACACTATAAGTGCCGTTCTTACAATGTCCAGTTAAGTGTCCGATAACTTAAACCAGAGGTTAGTCTAATATTTAACCGACTGTCAGATTACCGATAGAATTCTGTTGGTAAAACAATCCGATTTAACCGGGGTTGGTGAGAACTGACTGTCGGTCATATATTATACCAGCCGCCAGTTATCGTTAACAGACACTTAACCGGGCGAATAAGTTTTTCTTATTTCAATACATAGTTAATTAAAACTTACAATTTGCAAATAAATAAATAAAACCAATTGTCATAAACAGTGGGTGCCAATTGAATATGATTTGGGCTTCAGTAAATCCAAATCCTCCTCGGAAAGTGATAATCCAATAAAACACAGAAAATACAAGTAGTAATCCAACTATCTACAACAAAAATATCATAGTAAAAACAAAAAGTTTAACAATTAATAACTGTTTTTTTTTTAAAAGTACCTACCTGACATATTGTATACAGTGACGAGTATGAACCAGCATGGCTGTAATTTTGGGACTGCGTGTTGCTACGATTCTGTTCCGTCATGTTATTTAATGTCACCGCTTCCTCAATTCTATTGTTCTCCAACTCTGGTGTAACTGAAATAATAACAACACCGTTTTTTTATTCATATAAATATAAGACATCAATCAATATGACATAGTATTTGATGGGTACATTTTCGTGTTTTAAAATACAGATAGGTAGTAATCGGCACGAAATAACTATTTTTTTAAGAAGAGTAAAGACCGATTGTTTTTTTTTAGGATGACATACCCGGATAGTCCCTAAAACCGAGAAAAACGGACGCCCATCAGAAATATTTAGAGCAAATGCCAATGGAATTTAGCAACAGGCAAAATGTTAAGTCCGTTGCCAAGGAGACATTGCCAATAAAGATCGAACGCCGAACGGCGCCAGGCCAAAATTGTGTTATGATAAGAATATTATAAAAGATACTATCCGTGTATACAGGACGATCCATTCGACGGCAAACGTTCATTGACATTTTGGTCGAATTTGTTTCGATTCGATCGATAAATATTTAGTATTTTTGTGTTTAAAACTAGGTACATACATTTTTCACAAGTCTAACAGTGTTTGACCCCGCCCTGCCACCTATGTCCCGATGAAGTCGAAATGTTAACTTTTGATTTTTGAAAGCCGAGAGGTAATAAATAATAATACTTATATTGTTAAGATGACTATACTACAGAGTAAAGAAGAAACTGTATATCATTAATAAAGAGCACGATTAAAAAGATATTTAATCGTGATAAAGAGTAAAGACAACAAGTGATAATTATGTGTTCAAACAACAAATAAAGATTCGAGCCTTCGAGGTACAATTCAATTTGTTTTTGATTTAAAATATTCCATAACATAACATTATGGTATCATATTTTTTAAATTGTATACATGTTCGGAGCACGTTTAGTATATTATTATACGTCCGTAGAGTATTCACCGATTAACGTTTAAAATAATCACTCTGTAGATAACACATTAATAGACGTATCTTAATAATATCTTGTAATGTACAAAATTAGTACCACAGCCGTAATAATAATAGATAGATATACAAATATAGATAAATTATAATATCAGGATCTAGCCATGAGCACTCGGGGAATAAATATAAATATTATTCGACAAAATTATATTCATGTGTTAATATTGTTATCATTGTGTTACAAGTGTCAAGTACGCTTATAATGTACTTACTTCTTAATCGTTTCCTAGTCATTTTTTTTTTTTTTTTAATGGTTTTTCTACTGATGTAATTTCGTTTGGTTTTTTATGAAAATCGTTATTGTCCCGAAAACGTACTTTGCCGATAAGTTTTTGCGATAAAATATGCAGCCGGAATGCCAAAGCGAACTTGTTTGAACTACGAATTTAGTGCTTAATTTGTTTACATTTCCTAATACATTTTCGTACCTACACGTAATTAATGGTTTATCAGTTTCGACAAAACGTACACATACTATGCATTTCAAACGGTGATAGTATTATATTGTTATTATGGGTACGTGTTTGCACAGGTACTTATTTCATTTTATACGCCTGTGGACTGCGATTGTAGGACGTATTTTGTGTACCCATAACACACGGCACACGTATTACAGTAACCGAGTGGGCACTACAACAGTCAAGTCGTATTATTCGTTTTTTTTTAATTTTTAAGCTCTGATCGAAAAACGAATCATTTCAATAACAAATATTTATCATTATTTATCCGATAAATAAATAAGATACGGAGAGGTTTAATACTTTCGAAACGCGACTAGCGAGTGACGACCACTGACGGCGGACGCGACGAGCAAACAATATTATACATTCGATAGAGAATATTTTAGTGAATAGCGGCCACTTGACGTCTTGACCGATCAATTTGTAAGCGATAACTATTTTACAGTCATGTACAAATTAAATAGTATAACATACAACTGCCAGGAAACGATATTACATGATAACGTTATGATATTATATTTAATAATGATTCGACTTTGCAACACAAATATTTAACTATTGTAACACTATATAGTTTGGTGGTACCCAATACACACAATATGACTAATATCATGTTGTTTGCAAATTATTATTATTTATTGTAAAAATATAATACTCATACCAGTCGAATCCATGTTGAATGTCCAATATAATATTATAGTACTTAAATGCCTTTAAATAGAAATAAATGCAATGTTATTACAACGGCGAATTTATCAACTGTTGCATTCTGTTCTTTTCTATACCGACATACCGTCAATCGTGATTTGTGAGTTGTGATCAAACACGAATTTATACATATGAAAAAATATACATAATATTATTACTCACTACTACTATTTGCCAACTTCAAATACCTAAATCGGAGATACCTGTTATAGTAAGTCTATAATACTGATTACTGAAATCTGAGGCTCTGAGCAGTGACTACGGTGAGTGATAAATAATGTTTTTATTGAACATCGATCAGTTAGGTTAGACCAGGGGTGGCCAACCCATGTACACCGTAATATATAGGGACAAGTTATGAGCATTTTGAGAAACGTCTGTAACAACAGCTAACGAGTGTAATTATGTAGTAGCAAATAGGTAAAGGTAAAGAATGTTGATAATTTTGTAATTAAATTTGATTCAAACAGGTTGCCTTGAGTTCCGATTTATTATAATAAAAAAGTACCGTTGAATGAATTTAAAAAATTAAAACGCGTTTTCTATATTTTGGACTTTTTCACTCCAACCGGCATACAGAGTACAGACCACAGAAGAGATTAAGTCGTGGATACAAAGAAGGGAGGGGCGTGGGACTATGGGACCAATGGTATCACTCAAATCCTCCACCCCCTCAAAAAAGAAAAAAAATTAAGTGTTACATACCTACATTAATATCAACAACGACTATAATTACTTACAGAAAGTCGACCAACCTTTATATTGGAGTATCGACTTAAAATCGTAATCAATATTTGCGAGTAAACTATGTTAAACTATAGGAATTTGATAGTTAGCTTTTTCGAGTTAAAGTCGACAGCGGACAGACAATATGTATGGCTAGCCCAACGCCCTAACTTAACTTAGTTAGCTTAACAAAAGTTGTCCTAAAATTTAGAAATTGGTACAATCGACAGATTAATTTTTTGCTATAATTTTGCGAGTATTTAAAAAAGTTTCAAGTCTACCCTTTACTCACAAATTCCATTTTTTAAACGTTTCACATTCGGTACAAAAGCAGAAGTCTAAAAAACCCGTGCTTATATTTTGCAAATATTTTGAGTATATGATTTGAGGTTGATTACGCATTTACATGATCTAAAAAGTTCAATAAGCAGTACTAGCCTGAGCCCTGAAGTGAGCCCAATAGGCAATAAATAATAATCAATATCGATTGATAAGGTTTTTATGATTTTTATTGTTTGCCAAAAATTAAAAAGTACGGTCAGAATCTATGTTGACTAACCAGCACTCTAGCAGTCTAGCAGTCTATATAGCAGTTTTCAGCAGCTATAAAAAGCCACAGACTTCTGTAGAAAATCACAAAACAGTATTATGTAGAACCAGTGGCGTACACAGCTATTTTCAATGGGGGGGGGGCTTACATATAAAAAATTATATGCATATATAATATATATTATACATTGATAAATCAAAACGATGTACCTATAGTTATTATTTTGTACATAATGAGTAATCAGCTCATTAGCAATGACTTAAGGTGAAATTAAAAATATTTTTACAATTCTCGATTATTATTTAAAAAATATATACCTATTATCTACTGCAGGTAATTATTTAGTATAACTACAAAGCTACACGCGTACATACAATATGTATATAATAATATATTATATACAATTCAATAAAAGATATAGGTATAAAGAGAAATTTATTTTTACCATATTAATCATTTTATTGTACTTAGGTCCTAGGTTGATAATATAATGTATTAAATATTTACCTGGTTCCTCCGAGTTAATTGTATCACAAATTAGTGAGTTAGAAAAATATTCGTTTATTCTTTTCATTTTTATTGTTTTATAAAATATTTAAACAGTACCTAAGTACAATTTACTAAACGTCCAAAGCGTCAGGAATTTGATTGAAAACTCAGAAATAGATTCTATACTATAGTATTAGCGATACTGTGATAGCTATATTAAGGCATATTATATCGGATTACACGATTGTCGACCCTCATGTTTGTGTTTGAACAAATTTCCCAATAATTTCATTAATTTGTAACAGGTTATCAATAATATCTACAATATAATATTAAAACAACAAACTGGGTTGCTTATAAGTTATAATATAATGGAGTATAATTTGGAATATAATATTTTTTTAAATTGTCATCATTTTTATTATACATTTTTACGTTATTACGTAAACTGAAAAAAATACTAAAGGGGGGGTGGTTGAACACCCAACTCCCCACCCCCCGTGTGTACGCCACTGTGTAGAACTGTAAAAGTTAGTGTAAGAAGTTCTGTAACTTTCCATCGGTTCAGTTAATTACGTGGACACTTATTCAGTCCTTCCGCATTACCCGCGATTTAAGACGTCTCTACTATCCTATGTATACCCATGCATTTGTTGTCTCCGTCTTAACGACATAGCAAATTTTCGTTTACTATAGTTTCAAAATAGTGTGCTGTTAGGTTTGATATTAGAGTGAATTTATTATTGGCCTATCATCAAACCTTTGGGTAAGAACATTATCTGTGCTTAAGCGTCGGCATATTTTAGTTTTAAAGTAAGATATATGATCATCTTTATTTTGTGATATTTAACATCCCCAATTCTCACTTGAAAATTAAAATATCGAAAAAATCGCAGACGCCTAAGAACAGATAATGTTCTTACCAAAAAGTTTGATAATAGGTCGATTAAGTCTAATATTAAAAATAACAGCACACTATTGAAACTATACTACTATAGTGAACTACAATTTGCTATGTCGTACGCTTGTAAGAAGGAGACATTAAACGCATGGGTAGATAGTAGGTATCTTAAATCGTGAGCGTTGGGTTTACCTGGCAACTAGAGTACCAATAATGAAATGTAACATGTCTTATTTTATCAATATAAAATAATATATTTTTAAATAATTAAAATATCATCTCCTATTAGTTGCATACTTGTATCACCACACCATAAATATATAATTCAAATTTCACGGTGTCGTCATATTATGATATAGATGAATAATAAATTTCGTTGAACCTTTTCTGTCTTCTGTGGTGTCATTTTTCTGCGCACTCGTCTAGTATAATAGGTTAGGCTATTAATTATTATTGGAAAAACGTGGGGCTAAGCCCCACAGATTAAGTTATCGACATTCGAAATACAAATATACCTACACATTATTAATTATTATTGACATTCAATATCTAATTATGCAGACGGAGGTGACAAAGTTATGTGTAGTAAAAATTACTCGGTCATATTATTAACTTACCACGTTTTCTATTGAAAAAACAACATTTTATAGTAGGTACCTATCTGTAATCTGTATTAATATCACTATATGCATTGCTTATACCGAAATTATTTTCGGATCAAGTAATTTCTGTTCTTTCGGTACCTAAAACCTAAACATATCATTAGGACGAAATATAGTTCTAATGTATTATTTTTGGAATTATTTACCTACGACTCGTGCAAAATATTTTCTTATGATAATACATTTTCGGGATATCTAACATATTTTAAATTGTTATGTTAAAATATGGTTCTGATGAAATATTTTCGGATATATTACCCACCACCTATTTTGGCCAATCCACCGAATATTCTCAAGAATTTAAAGATCGAATTTTGACAACATTTATCAAATTTAAAATTGAATAATTATTTTGTAGTTAAAAATTTATAAAATGTTCGACTTTTATATCTAAGGATTGAAAATTTAAGATTCCGCGTATGTAGTTAATTCTGTTACCAAAAAATCTAAAAAATACAAATGCACAGTTTATTTTTATAGTAATTTTAAGTTACAATTTGGATGAAATTACAAAAAAAAAACCTAGAATAGGTTACCTAGATATAAGTATATAATATGTCTTATACCTAGACTGACATACCGCCTCCGCTCAGAATCGTTTTTCTTATACAATGATATTATATCATTGAATTCAAAATTAATACCATCCATTATACAGTGAACCACTTGTAACCTACTGTACAGCAGAGCACCTTTTTTAGTTTTTTTTTTCTATAAATGTTAATAAAATATTATTC